CATTAGGGCGAACAGTTATAATTTTGGATGGTATACATTCTTCTATTTGATTATTAATAGAATCTGTTAAAAATTTATTAAACTCATTCGAGTCAAGAGTATTTATTAGTATTTCCCAATTTATTTCATTTAGAGCTCTATTCATTTCATCAAAATATGCATTGTCATAGTTTAGTATAGTTTTCTGGTAGGACTTTTGCTTAAATACAGAATATGAACAGGTAAAATGAATAACAGAGTGATCACTGCATATTGGTGTATTCACTGTATTATGTTTTATAAGATTAATATTATTAGTGAATAAAATATCAATAGCAGTGGCAGTAGTTTGTGTTATCCTGGTAGGTTTGTTAATTAGATTTGTAAAGTTATATTTTACCATTAGTCTATTTAAATGGTGGTTAGTAGGTATATTCAACATATTTACATTTATATCCCCAGTTATTATGATGTTAAGTGATGTGTTACATGCATTATCTAGAACATGGTCTAATTTATCCCAATATTCAACATTTGATTCAGGTCTATAAATACATCCTAATAATATTTTTTGCTTATTGAGTAATACTTCAATCCATATCATTTCTATATCTTCATGCTCAAGATCAATTCTTCTTTCAGTATGTACTGTGTCTTTGTGATAAATAATTACTCCTCCCCCAGGTCCAGTTTTTCTATCAAGTCTGTGAATGTTATGGGAATGGGAGTTAAGTGTTATTTCAGCATCAGTTATATTTGGAGAAAGGTGTGTTTCAGTAAGACATAATATGTCACTTTCATGTAATTCTGCTTCAATGATATCAAGTTTGGTTCTGAGAGATCTAACATTAAGATGTGAGATTTCTATGTTAAATTGGGGTCCTGGATTTAGTTCAATATCATTGCAAAGAAGTAGTATATTTTTAATGGTACATAAAAGATATTCAATGTTTTTAAGTTTGAAAAAATGTGATTCATCAAAAAGTAAACAATATGTAAAGTAATAGCTAGGGTAATCGTTCGTCAATACAGTTCGTTTAATTCATGTTGTGTGAAATCGATGCTTAACAAAATTTCTATCGACAGCACTCGAGTGTTTACCAACGGCGAATAGACGGTACGAGCTATCGGCCTTGATATTGTATGACACCCGGTGAGGGCACTGCGAAATCTGTAACATATTTTCCCGCCACTGGGAGTCGGCGGTCCCTTTACTTTAGGTCTCTGGTACGAAGCAGGGTCAATGACGAGGTCGCTTGGTTCATTGACGAGGTCAAAGTTCACGGGTCGTCTGCTCCAGTTCCAAGGTAAAACGTAAGGTGTTTCAAAGGGTCAAATTGCGGATTTTTCAGTATCACTACTCTTGTTTTTTCTGCATTTATTGTAGAACGTCAACTTTATATTCAGTTATTCTAAATTCTTCCATTTTAAAAACCTGGTTAGGAATATGATCAAATAATGAATTTCTGAAGACTTTTTTGTCTAAAGAACAAAAATGGAGTTTGTGTTCTCCTGAAGCCTGAATCATTACCGATATGTAAACACAGCCACGGTATGCAATTTTTAGATGTTTGGTGTTTTCTAAACTGAATCATTCAAGATTACATTCAATTGAGCACTCTTAAACCGCATGGAAATCTCAGCTAGCTACAGGTTTAATATTACGTTGATTTTCTATGTTTTCTCATGGCACATGTTTTGAACAGGATAGGATTATTGAATGCAGCGAACCGTATATCCAATATGGCGCAGGTGAAGCGTAACTCGCGATATGACATCCGGTTATCGTGGCCAATGCTAAGGTAAAGAACAAGTTGCCAATCTCTGTAATATATACGCAAACGCAACGGAAACTCGACGCAAACGCAACGGTAACGCAACGGAAACGGAACGCAAACGCAACAGAAACGCAACGCATTTTTGGTAAAGAAAAACGGTCTAGTGTCTGAACTCGCCGTACTGTTAACATGCTAGTTGCCGTACACTTGACAATGTATCAACATCTATTTGCCGTAGACAGACGAAAACACAATTAAGTCAACTACATGGTAATGACTACATTTAGACATATGGCCATAATATGTTTATCCCGGTCTCATCTACATATGCAAGTTACGTCCGTTTCATCATCGTATATGTCATACTTTGATAGTTATCTCTTCTTCTTTCTTTGTAAATTATTTTGTACCGGTACTTTGTAGATTTTTTTTACAAATATCTTAAGATAGCATGAAATAGTTTACAAAGCATCTGCATCACATACATCATTGTTCATTGCTTAAATGTTGTGCTCCTTTATTTGTCTCTACGTTACCAGAAAATACCAGAACTATCGGAAAACATAGTTAGCACTATACAGTAGAGGGTTGTGGCCATGGGTGATATTTTTGTTAAATGGCTAACCGCTGTATAATGATGTAAAAAAATATAAAAATAAAACTGTACTAAAATTGGTATAAGCATGATGAAGTGGGCTATGTGAGCTTCACATTTGTAAAAAAGAAAGAAGATTTTTTTTGGTTCGAGAATAAAATTTTGGCCATAATACGAAAGGGTGCGTACACATGAAAAGCTAGCTTTACAGGAGGTAAAATTTTGACAACAGCACACGACGCAAAATTGCAAAAAATCAAGTTTTACAATTTTACTGGGACCCAGAAAATTCTGCAACCAGGTAGTTAATCTTTAATTTCAGACAGAGCTTAGGAAAAAAAATTCTAGTTGTGGGGGTCAAATTATGGGTTAAAAATAGCAATTTTTGGTAATTTTTGATGTGGTAACCATGGTTTTCACACAAGCGACATACATAGAAAAAAGAGGTTTATTCACTTCTCAGTACTTTATATGTATTGTAAATGTAATGCAGTTTACAAATATATATACATGTATACAGGTGTTGTGTAGGGTAAATCCGCTGTGTTTACATTTCCTCGACATGTGCCTTGTTTATCAGAGTCGGGCCATTTCTACTGTATACTGCTACCATGACTTGACTGCGCCCGGCGTCCATGCCCGCTTCGTTACTAGCTGTATCCGGTGTTAGTCATGCACAGTGGTTATATACTTACGGCCCACTGACATTTTCTTCAGTACACACGGTTTAAACGTGTAGAAAGTTGCCATTGTCGTGACTCGGTGTAGCAGGATACGTTTAATTGTGTTGTGTAAAAAGGTAACTCACTTTTCGAAAGGTTCATTTTTGTAATTGAAGCCTATTAAACGGGTGGATACTGAACAGGCTTCCTGGTGTGGATGTGATATTTTGAGTTGTATAGAGTCGTGTTTTCGGACTATAATATTAGAAGAAACGCTGTTTACGAGGTAAGCAACTCACTTAACATCTTTTTAAATTTATAATCAAAAGAATGTTAATTGTTTCCTCTTTTTTTTTTTTTTTATCTCTTATAGCCCAGAGACTAATAGAGGAAACGAGTATAACATTCGGTCGAGATTTTAGCTTGTAATCAAATTTGTGATTAAATATTGGTGATGATGTAATGTGAAGCATGTGCGTTCGTTCGATACCAATTAATGTTCTTTTAAACAGGTTATCTACGCGCTTCGCCCATCCCTCGTTGATAATGGCAGAACGTGAATCATATTGTGTTGTAAAGGAGAGTGGTATTCATGTTAACACGAAAACCTATCAAAACATATGCTATTCATATACTTCCCGGGAAATGATTGCATTTTTTAATAAACGTACATCTTTTAGAGGTCTTGTTGAAACTCAACTTGCACAAGAAAGCCTATGATAAGTCGTTTCATCTATACCATGATTTCCATTAATCCGTTGAACAAGCTGGTCGACATAACCTGGGTTTCAGATTTGTCAAAAGGTATTTTTGCATTTTTCTAATTCCTTGTTTGAAAACATGACTGTCTTCGCCTGATGTTTGACCTGTTGTATTAATATCGATCGATAAGATCGATATCTTAGCAATATTTAAATGTAGTTTGTAATGATAACGTCAATGTATGAGCAATATGTAAATATAGATATATTCATATCTAAATTAGATCAAAATTTGAATGGTAGGTGTAGTGTGACACTAGTACTGTTAACTCATTTTTGATGCACGCTTTACGACTATAGGGTAGTTTGAGGAAATGTTTAATTATTGAGATTTTATTTTAAACGAGTCTTCGATATACATAACACGCTCTACCTCCTCGGGTTTGGCCTACAGTGAACTTATGTAGCAACTAGCTCAAGTGTAATCGTGTAGAGAACCAAAAATTGTAATAGCATTTGTAACATACCGACCACACTACATTAGTCTATACCGTATAAAAATTCTCGCTTAGGTCCCCCTAAAATGCTAATTTTATGTTTATACATTGATGTGGATTTGATAATTATCAAATCAAAGCTGTCTGGTGTATTCATGTTTTCTTTAGATGCATATACAATATGAGTTACATGTTAAATATAACTCGCTAGTACGTGTTAAATGGTGTAAGTAGGCCAGTGTTGGTGAGAGGTACATGTACCTCACGTTTAAAGCACAGGCTTACCTGGACTGCATTTGTGTAATAACTTTTATGAAGCAGATAACTCGCAAACAGTCTACCGGAACTCCAACTCCCACTTCAGAAAACTGCAATTTCACTTTAATGATTTACGATAGCTCAATGTCCGGGATGTAATCTATAATGATTGGAAAAACCGCAGCAGTCTGTCTCACTATTGATATCATTACTGATATAATCCTCATTGTTGTCTGTCTCACTATTGATATCATTACTGATGTAGTCCTCATTGTTGTCTGTCTCAGTATTGATATCACTACTGATATAGTCCTCATTGTTGTCTGTCTCAATATTGATATCATTACTGATATAGTCCTCATTGCTGTCTGTCTCAGTATTGATATCATTACTGATATGGTCCTCATTGTTGTCTGTCTCAGTATTGATATCATTATTGATATAGTCCTCATTGTTGTCTGTCTCAGTATTGATATCATTATTGATATAGTCCTCATTGTTGTCTGTCTCAGTATTAATATCATTACTGATATAGTCCTCATTGTTGTATGTCTCAGTATTGATATCATTACTGATATAGTCTTCATTGTTGTCTGTCTCACTATTGATATCATTACTTATATGTTCCTCATTGTTGTCTGTCTTACTATTGATATCATTACTGATATAGTCCTCATAGTTGTCTGTCTCACTATTGATATCATTACTGAAATAGTCCTCCTTGTTGTCAGTCTCACTATTGATATCATTACTGATATCGTCCTCATTGTTGTCTGTCTCAGTATTGATATCGTTACTGATATAGTCCTCATTGTTGTCTGTCTTAGTATTGATATCATTACTGATATAGTCCTCATTATTGTCTGTCTCAGTATTGATATCATTACTGATGTAGTCCTCATTGTTGTCCGTCTCACTATTGATATCATTACTGATATAGTCCTCATTGTTGTGTGTCTCAGTATTGATATCATTACTGATATAGTCCTCATTGCTGTCTGTCTCAGTATTGATATCATTACTGATATGGTCCTCATTGTTGTCTGTCTCAGTATTGATATCACTACTGATATAGTCCTCATTGTTGTCTGTCTCAGTATTGATATTATTACTGATATAGTCCTCATTGTTGTCTGTCCCACTATTGATATCATTACTGATATAGTCCTCATAGTTGTCTGTCTCACTATTGATATCATTACTGACATAGTCCTCATTGTTGTCTGTCTCACTATTGATATCATTACTGATATAGTCTTCATTGTTGTCTGTCTCACTATTGATATCATTACTGATATGGTCCTCATTGTTGTCTGTCTCAGTATTGATATCGTTACTGATATAGTCCTCATTGTTGTCTGTCTCAGGATTTATATCATTGCTGATATTGTCCTCATTGTTGTCTGTCTCAGTATTGATATCGTTACTGATATAGTCCTCATTGTTGTCTGTCTCACTATTGATATCATTACTGATATAGTCCTCATTGTTGTCTGTCTCACTATTGATATCATTACTGATATAGTCCTCATTGTTGTCTGTCTCACTATTGATATCATTACTGATATAGTCCTCATTGTTGTCTGTCTCACTATTGATATCATTACTGATATAGTCCTCATTGTTGTCTGTCTCACTATTGATATCATTACTGATATAGTCCTCATTGTTGTCTGTCTCACTATTGATATCATTACTGATATAGTCCTCATTGTTGTCTGTCTCACTATTGATATCATTACTGATATAGTCCTCATTGTTGTCTGTCTCACTATTGATATCATTACTGATATAGTCCTCATTGTTGTCTGTCTCACTATTGATATCATTACTGATATAGTCCTCATTGTTGTCTGTCTCACTATTGATATCATTACTGATATAGTCCTCATTGTTGTCTGTCTCACTATTGATATCATTACTGATATAGTCCTCATTGTTGTCTGTCTCACTATTGATATCATTACTGATATAGTCCTCATTGTTGTCTGTCTCACTATTGATATCATTACTGATATAGTCCTCATTGTTGTCTGTCTCACTATTGATATCATTACTGATATAGTCCTCATTGTTGTCTGTCTCACTATTGATATCATTACTGATATAGTCCTCATTGTTGTCTGTCTCACTATTGATATCATTACTGATATAGTCCTCATTGTTGTCTGTCTCACTATTGATATCATTACTGATATAGTCCTCATTGTTGTCTGTCTCACTATTGATATCATTACTGATATAGTCCTCATTGTTGTCTGTCTCACTATTGATATCATTACTGATATAGTCCTCATTGTTGTCTGTCTCACTATTGATATCATTACTGATATAGTCCTCATTGTTGTCTGTCTCACTATTGATATCATTACTGATATAGTCCTCATTGTTGTCTGTCTCACTATTGATATCATTACTGATATAGTCCTCATTGTTGTCTGTCTCACTATTGATATCATTACTGATATAGTCCTCATTGTTGTCTGTCTCACTATTGATATCATTACTGATATAGTCCTCATTGTTGTCTGTCTCACTATTGATATCATTACTGATATAGTCCTCATTGTTGTCTGTCTCACTATTGATATCATTACTGATATAGTCCTCATTGTTGTCTGTCTCACTATTGATATCATTACTGATATAGTCCTCATTGTTGTCTGTCTCACTATTGATATCATTACTGATATAGTCCTCATTGTTGTCTGTCTCACTATTGATATCATTACTGATATAGTCCTCATTGTTGTCTGTCTCACTATTGATATCATTACTGATATAGTCCTCATTGTTGTCTGTCTCACTATTGATATCATTACTGATATAGTCCTCATTGTTGTCTGTCTCACTATTGATATCATTACTGATATAGTCCTCATTGTTGTCTGTCTCACTATTGATATCATTACTGATATAGTCCTCATTGTTGTCTGTCTCACTATTGATATCATTACTGATATAGTCCTCATTGTTGTCTGTCTCACTATTGATATCATTACTGATATAGTCCTCATTGTTGTCTGTCTCACTATTGATATCATTACTGATATAGTCCTCATTGTTGTCTGTCTCACTATTGATATCATTACTGATATAGTCCTCATTGTTGTCTGTCTCACTATTGATATCATTACTGATATAGTCCTCATTGTTGTCTGTCTCACTATTGATATCATTACTGATATAGTCCTCATTGTTGTCTGTCTCACTATTGATATCATTACTGATATAGTCCTCATTGTTGTCTGTCTCACTATTGATATCATTACTGATATAGTCCTCATTGTTGTCTGTCTCACTATTGATATCATTACTGATATAGTCCTCATTGTTGTCTGTCTCACTATTGATATCATTACTGATATAGTCCTCATTGTTGTCTGTCTCACTATTGATATCATTACTGATATAGTCCTCATTGTTGTCTGTCTCACTATTGATATCATTACTGATATAGTCCTCATTGTTGTCTGTCTCACTATTGATATCATTACTGATATAGTCCTCATTGTTGTCTGTCTCACTATTGATATCATTACTGATATAGTCCTCATTGTTGTCTGTCTCACTATTGATATCATTACTGATATAGTCCTCATTGTTGTCTGTCTCACTATTGATATCATTACTGATATAGTCCTCATTGTTGTCTGTCTCACTATTGATATCATTACTGATATAGTCCTCATTGTTGTCTGTCTCACTATTGATATCATTACTGATATAGTCCTCATTGTTGTCTGTCTCACTATTGATATCATTACTGATATAGTCCTCATTGTTGTCTGTCTCACTATTGATATCATTACTGATATAGTCCTCATTGTTGTCTGTCTCACTATTGATATCATTACTGATATAGTCCTCATTGTTGTCTGTCTCACTATTGATATCATTACTGATATAGTCCTCATTGTTGTCTGTCTCACTATTGATATCATTACTGATATAGTCCTCATTGTTGTCTGTCTCACTATTGATATCATTACTGATATAGTCCTCATTGTTGTCTGTCTCACTATTGATATCATTACTGATATAGTCCTCATTGTTGTCTGTCTCACTATTGATATCATTACTGATATAGTCCTCATTGTTGTCTGTCTCACTATTGATATCATTACTGATATAGTCCTCATTGTTGTCTGTCTCACTATTGATATCATTACTGATATAGTCCTCATTGTTGTCTGTCTCACTATTGATATCATTACTGATATAGTCCTCATTGTTGTCTGTCTCACTATTGATATCATTACTGATATAGTCCTCATTGTTGTCTGTCTCACTATTGATATCATTACTGATATAGTCCTCATTGTTGTCTGTCTCACTATTGATATCATTACTGATATAGTCCTCATTGTTGTCTGTCTCACTATTGATATCATTACTGATATAGTCCTCATTGTTGTCTGTCTCACTATTGATATCATTACTGATATAGTCCTCATTGTTGTCTGTCTCACTATTGATATCATTACTGATATAGTCCTCATTGTTGTCTGTCTCACTATTGATATCATTACTGATATAGTCCTCATTGTTGTCTGTCTCACTATTGATATCATTACTGATATAGTCCTCATTGTTGTCTGTCTCACTATTGATATCATTACTGATGTAGTCCTCATTGTTGTCTGTCTCACTATTGATATCATTACTGATGTAGTCCTCATTGTTGTCTGTCTCACTATTGATATCATTACTGATGTAGTCCTCATTGTTGTCTGTCTCACTATTGATATCATTACTGATATGGTCCTCATTGTTGTCTGTCTCACTATTGATATCATTACTGATATAGTCCTCACTGTGGCAAAACTGTGGGAGTTAAATGAACAGATAAATTCGGATCGTGCGAACCAAACGCTGATGTTTATAGGTTTACCCAGGTTTGTTTTACTAATCAAACAATCATGTTGTCCAAACACAAGCCTACCCATGTAAGGAAGGAACAGTGACAGAAATACGACAGGTTTTATATGTGTACTGGTGTAGCCAGATTTAATAACATAGGGCTCCGCCTTTTTTATGTTACAGATACCGAATCCTTGCACCAAACACTAACATGCGAACAAAAACTCGATATGTATTCCTGATAACAATAGCGATTCTGCTATTTCTAATCACATGTTCGGGTAAGTATGCTGCTATTTAAATGAATGTAAATAGAGAACTCATCGTCGCGTGTTGTTTAAATTAAAAAAAAAAGGTAAATAAATAGGTAAATTGTATAGGATACTGTGAAAATGGAAAATTTCGCGATGCAGATATGCTCGCGATATTTTGTGTAAAGTAAATTATCGCGAAAATATCCACACGCGAATATTTGTTTATAGATTACAATAGTGATGGCATATCGGATGTGTAGATTTCAGAACTTGTGTCACTGCGAATTTTTTTAAAGAGTCATTTTGAGAACGTGTCCACACGCTAATGTTTCTAATTTTACAGTATTTATTAACGTGATAATTTGATAAATGATCTTAGTAATGTTGCTTGCTTGAAAACATTTTGAACTGAATAAACACGGCAGCATTAACCTTCTACAACTAAATATGAAAATAATTACATATTCACTTAAATAATTGTATAACATAATTACAATCACTAGAGCTGAATTAAAGGTTCATTTTTGTTTTTTTTTGTGTTTTTGTTTTTAGAAGTTTGGAACAACAGTATAGACGATGAAGTATCAGAGCGTACCGCATTAAATACAAGACAAGAAACTAGTTCAGAGGAAGAAAACAAACCAGCAGCTGCTTCAAGTAATATTTATTACCACTTTATGTTCTTAACTTGCCAGAATACTGTATTAGATGTCAACATCTAGACACTCCTCAGATGGAGAAAAAGTGCGTTTTTGCTATCTTTTCCCCCCATTTCCATGGAAACAGTATTTTATCAATTAAAATATCGTTCTATAATACTTTGAACACTTCAGTCAACATCATGAGATGTATTGTCAAAATAGAATCACTAACGTACTCTGATCAGTGACACTTATTACCGTAATTATCCTCTTCACTGAACTAATGGCCAATGGTCAGGGGTAATAGGCAATAAGTAAAGGTTTGACTAATTATCTCCTCATTGTGAATTATATATAAATTGTTATTTGTAGTATTATTGACATTAAATGCCAGAACAAACCTTGCATTGTCTTATAAAACGGGTCGATTGCTTCCAATTAAGGAGAACTCTGGTCAGAATGATCAGATAGGGGGTCAGACTGGGTCCTATACTGTGCCTTCAGAGAGAGTAAATGGTAAAAGTTGAAGTTAAGAAGGAACCCCCTCTAAAGAGGGAGACTTGACATATATAGCTCTTACTTATCAACCAATGTTGGTGTCCACATACAGGCATATTCACAGATATTTAACATTACAAATTGATCCTCTTTATTTTTATACCTATTGATTACTGATTTGTATATGATAGTGTGACAGTGCCTGGGGTCACCCATAGGATATCGAGCTCGCCTTGGGTGACAGTGGTTCCCAAGAAGCCGAGGGGCAGCGATATCCGAGGGGTGACCATAGGCACTGTAGTATTTATTTTATCATACCGAAAGTGATCATGGCGGTTGAAACCGTACGCGCATCTTCTTTCCGCAGTCACTATCACACACTGTCACATACTGTCACACACTGTCACACACTGTCACACACTGTCACATACTATCACACACCGTCACATACTGTCACACACTGTCACACACTGTCACAAACTATCACATGTCTAGCTTACGTATAACACCACAGAATGTTATGACGTGTCGCATCATCTATACTGCATATCACATGTCTAGCTCACATATAACGCCACAGAGTGTCATGACGTGTCGCATCATGTTCAATGCATATCACATGTCTAGCTCACATATAACACCACAGAGTGTCATGACGTGTCGCATCATGTTTAACGCATATCACATGTCTAGCTCACATATAACACCACAGAATGTTATGACGTGTCGCATCATCTATAATGTATCACACACCGTCACATACTGTCACACACTGTCACACACTGTCACATACTGTCACACATTGTCACACACTGTCACACACTGTCACATACTGTCACACATTGTCACACACTGTCACACACTGTCACATACTATCACACACCGTCACATACTGTCACACACTGTCACACACTGTCACACACTGTCACACACTGTCACATACTGTCACACATTGTCACACACTGTCACACACTGTCACATACTGTCACACACTGTCACACACTGTCACACACTGTCACACACTGTCACAAACTATCACACGTCTAGCTTACGTATAACGCCACAGAATGTTATGACGTGTCCCATCATCTATAATGTATATTACATGTCTAGCTCACATATAACGCCACAGAGTGTCATGACGTGTCGCATCATGTTTAATGCATATCACATGTCTAGCTCACATATAACGCCACAGAATGTTATGACGTGTCGCATCATGTTTAATGTATATCACATGTCTAGCTCACATGTAACGCCACAGAGTGTCATGACGTGTCGCCTCATGTTTAATGCATATCACATGCCTAGCTCACATATAACGCCACAGTGCGACATGACGTGGCGCATCATGTTTAATGCATATCACGTGTCTAGCTCACATATAACGCCACATAGTGTCATTACGTGTCGCATCATGTTTAATGCATATTACATGTCTAGCTCACATATAACGCCGCATAATATCATGACGTGTCGCATCATCTATAATGCATATCACATGTCTAGCTCCCATATAACGCCACAGAATTATGTTATGACGTGTCGCATAATCTATAATGTATATCACATGTCTCGCTCACACATAACGACGCAGAATGTGATTATGTGTCGCATCATTTATGCTGTATATCACATGTCTAGCTCCCATATAACGCCACAGAATTATGTTATGACGTGTCGCATAATCTATAATGTATATCACATGTCTAGCTCACATATAACGCCGCAGAATATCATGACGTGTCGCATCATCTATACTGCATATCACCTATCTAGCTCACATATAACACCACAGAATGTCATGACGTGTCGCATCATCTATAATGTATATCACATGTCTAGCTCACGTATAACGCCACAGAATGTTATGACGTGTCGCATAATCTATAATGTATATCACATGTCTAGCTCACATGTAACGCCACAGAATGTTATGACGTGTCGCATCATCTATAATGTATATTACATGTCTAGCTCACATATAACGCCACAGAATGTTATGACGGGTCGCATCATCTATAATGTATATCACATGTCTAGCTCACATATAACGTCGCAGAATGTTATGACGTGTCGCATCATCTTTAATGTATATTACATGTCTAGCTCACATATAACGCCACAGAATGTTATGATGTGTCGCATCATGTATAATGCATATCACATGTCTATCTCACATATAACGCCACAGAATGTTATGACGTGTCGCATCATCTATAATGTATATCACATGTCTAGCTCTCACATAACGCCGCAGAATGTGATTACGTGTCGCATCATTTGTACTGTATATCACATTTCTAGCTCACATATCACGCCGCAGAATGTCATGACGTGTCGCATCATCTATACTGTATATCACATGTCTAGCTCACATATAACGCCGCAGAATGTGATGAGGTGTCGCATCATCTTTAATGTATATTACACGTCTAGCTCACATATAACGCCACAGAATGTTATGATGTGACGCATCATGTATAATGCATATCACATGTCTATCTCACATATAACGCCTAATGTATATCACATGTCTAGCTCACACATAACGCCGCAGAATGTGATTACGTGTCGCATCATTTATACTGTATATCACATTTCTAGCTCACATATAACGCCGCAGAATGTCATGACGTGTCGCATCATCTATACTGCATATCACCTATCTAGCTCACATATAACACCACAGAATGTCATGACGTGTCGCATCATCTATAATGTATATTACATGTCTAGCTCACATATAACGCCACAGAATGTTATGACGTGTCGCATCATGTATAATGTATATCACATGTCTAGCTCACATATAACGCCATAGAATGTTATGTGTCGCATCATCTATACTGCATATCACATGTCTAGCTCACATATAACACCACATAATGTCATGACGTGTCGCATCATCGAAAGTTTCTTTATCTTTTATAGGTAACTTAGCCTGTTCTTATTCACAATTTGCTAAAATATATCACAGGGTAAGATTTGCTATGGTGGTATCGAATGTTGTTCATCCATTTTGATATGATATCTTTCCCTAAAGCTAGTAGGGGAGAAAGTAGGTTCCGGGTGCCATAGCTATATAACATATGGCGTTTCGTAGTATGATACACTTTATATGTGATTTTTTTTTGCGAACACCAGTTTAAGTGTTTTATTATCAACTACGTTGTACCATTTTAACAACTAAAGTACAAGTTCAATATATCCAAATTTCATACATTAATTACGATATTTAATAGGGATTTTCAAATATGACTAAAGGGTTGAAATTTTGAGTAGCCATGCCATCTTGTAGAGGGTATGTTAAACACTATGACCACGTTCCCGTTTGCTATTTTCGTAAGTATAATCGTGTATAACCCGTTTCTCTCAAAACATCGGGATGTCCTCTTTGCACTTGGCTCAATACCCAACTCCTTTGTAACACTGTGACTTGCTTACCTGATAGAAATCTGAATTTAGACGTTACTATCTCGCTACACCACTCGACAGCTAACCTTTTGTCGCGGAAGGATTTAAGTTACCAACGCAAAATGTGTTTACCTGTACATCATACATGTACCATTACGAAGGTATGCTTTTCTAATGATGAACGCTATCTTTATGTAATTTGAAATGTAAACATATATGTATGTATTGATTGACTTAAATCTCTTGTAAAAGTGGAAATAAAGAATGTCTGTCTGTCTGTCTGTCTGATAGTATCATACTAGTATGAATTAGAAGGTAATTAAGTCGGCGATACATTAATTTTAGTGTACATGTATAAACTATGGCAGACCTGATGGGTACATTGATTTTCCTTTTTTAATAACGAAATAGTTTACTACAGAAAAAGGTGTCAATGTCATTGTTCGAATATGTAGTGTCACGTGACCACTACAACCACAGACAGGGATTGTCTTATATATTTTTACCAAGGCTTAAACCAACTGTGAAGATTGCTTCAGCTACGTTTCAAAATGTATTGTCATTTATATTTTGTGTATTTTCAGTAGGAAATAGTTCAAATTTTATTAGAATTTGTATTGTGAATTTTACAGTTAAAAGGTATAGGAACTAATATCCTGACCCACCCCTGGGGCCTTAAGGCTCTATCAATAGGGAATAAAGTAGTCAAAGTTCTGAAGAAATTGATTTCAGAAAAGCAATTCGTCATGTGCTTGTGAATGCATGAGTGCATCTAAAAAGTGTCATTTCGACCTCCTTTAACGTTGTGATGATCAACGAAGATATATGGTATTCTGAGGCATGGCTCGGTAACTTTTATAACAAGTGGGTGTATGATGTAGGTATATCTTGATAAGTTCCTGTTCTGTATCAAGAGGTGAACAGGGTTATTATTGTACGTATACATGTGTCCTAATGTATCGGGTGTAGGTATCAGGCCTATATCAGGACTAAACAAATAGGGTGCACAAGCATATCTATTTACATTCCTGATGTTTGTTCTGTTCATGAATCTACCAACTGAAAACAACTGCCATTAGATTATGAATACACTATGTATACGAGTCTCGTGTGACCGGTTAGCTGATTTCACACACAATATATATATATATATATATTTTTTTTTTTTTTTTTTTTTTTATAACATTGTCATCAAATACTGACTAACGCGCTCCACAGGATATGTAGATCAGCTACTGCTATTCATTGCCGCAATGTACATGAAACAAATCCATTCAATCCCTATATGAATAAGATAAGAAAACACACCATACAATTTAAATGCAAGTCATGCACAATACCGTATACGAAATACTATAGCATTTAATTACGCGCATCGTCTAGAGATGTAAATAGATATGATAGCAGTCCGTCTCAATACGGAGAGAAAAACTAGGTACTCATCTCAGCTTCGCTGAACCGATTTCTATGAGCTCATACTAAAAATAACATAATCTTCAAATTTAGTGGGTGTTTTTTTTTCAAAGTCAAAACATTCATGATATATACCGGATTGCCTTTCGCTGATTGTTAGGAATAACTCTCTGCAATATGTGCTCTATTGACTCACAATAGAAGACCAATGTGTTTTACAGATGAGTTAAATACTTTCGTGAACACGTTGTAGAATATTCCATCAGCACTTACATATTCATGGGTAATTTCTTAATGACTTTTACAAGTTCACAAATCGACATGATAAAATCCACATGTTAGATAAGCTATACCATCAAAAATTCATACAAGCCATGAATTTCAATTACTCCTTCAAATTAAAAGTCTATAGCTATACATTTTTCAATTAGGACTGAAATGTTCAGCTTGAGTCTTATTGGATTTACCGATGGCACTTGACCGTAACTGTATCTAGAAGTCCTTTGTAGTTTTATGATAAATTCGGAATGACCAGTTGCTCTATATAAAAGTGATATATTTTAGTCATGTTGATGATATATATAGAAGTGAACTATTATAACGATGGTAGGGTAGAAACAGTGATGACGTATTTTACCCATTTACCCTAGGGAGGAAACACTGATGACACGGAGGAACACTGATGGGTAGAGGGTATTCCGGGATGACCTGCAGCAACCGGCTCAAATAGAGAGTTACTGGCATGACCTATCCTAACCCAATTATATAGATGATTATGGAGAGGAGGGGTGGGGCGTCGTGTATTATCTATTTAAAAAAAATTCGGGTCGATTTGAAGTAAATGCATTAGATAGCTATAGGTAGATATCCATTCTGTCTATTGGAGAGCACACTCAAGCTACTGGTTCACCCGTAAGCAACTGCTTTACTGTTTGGGCTCGAATAAGCCCGAATATCTTCCTGGGAACGTTGCCACTAGTTTGGTTACATTTGTTGTGTATATGGCGTTATACCCCGTTTGACCATTGATTCATCAGTCTGACGATAGCTTAAAGTTCTTCTCTTATACCGAAGGAACTGTTTTACAGATTTTCTATGCTCTGACGGGGAACATATCCATCTTTAACATAAAGAATTGAGTTTACATAGCCTAGTGATGCGTCAGACTTGTTTTGGTTCAAATCCCTTAACCTGCACTGTTAGAGGTCTTTTAAAAACCTATCTCTATTTTCTCTACTGAATTTCTCCCCTGTAGCCCAATGGAGGTCACGCCCTTCTTTATTGCAGCAAAATTAGGTCTCATTGACCAGGAGCCAATCTGCTTTATTTAAGAATTATATTAAAGATACATATATGTATATTTATTTCCCCGTATTTTGCCCTGTCCCTCTACCCAGGACAGACCCATTCGTTTCGTTTATACAATTTATACATTACCGAGTCCTGTCGGGCCAGTTATGTGTCAGATAAACTATAGCCAAAAACCAATCACCTGTATTGAATAGGTGCTTTTTTAGATATTCATCTCAATTTCCAGTATTTCGCCCCCAACCTCGTTCCCCAGCTGGAGGGGCGATACAGTAGTTCAGGGTAAATTGGAATTTAGATAACTACAGTGTATAATCAAATGACGGAGGGTAGACCGACGCCGTGCTAGAGTGTAGCTTCCGTAGCCATTTAGGCCAGGTGGGATCGAAATCAAAAGTTAGTAACACAAAAACGAATAAAACACGATACATATCGGAAAATGCTATCTTGTTGTATTTAAAATAAGACGTCACTCTCTTTGTTTGTTTTACATATTAGTGTTTTAAAAACAAACATTCATTGAAATAAAGAGGGAAGACCGTTTTAGCCAGGAACCATAAAGTCAGCTATGTATTATACACTGCTTTACAAAACTACACCAAATACCTGCAACTTACAGTGTATATTTCCTTTGAAATACAAATTACATTAAAAGGTTGATGGGGAAAATCAAAATATATAGGAATCGCGGTGGCCGAGTCGTATTGACGTCTCACCGTCTTCACCAGCCCTGCACCACTTGGTCGCGGGTTCGAAGCTTATCTGCGGCTTTCGCCAGGTACTGGCCGTAGGGTGGTGTTTTTTCTCCAGATTGTCCGGGTTTTATCTACCACAAAAACCTGGCAAATGCTTAATAACTGATCATAGTTGTTAGTAGGACATACAACAATAATATACCAGCCCAAACCAAATAATCAACATGTACACATGATGTCTGCATTCAAAACATGAGCTATGGCATCCTAGGTATACCCGTGTCGATACCCATACACAGAAATGTAAGTGTGCGCTATCTGTCTATGCACGAAGTTCTCTGTAATAGACTTTGACAAGTCGGATATTTAAGGGGCCGCGTTGGCCAAGTTGGTAAGGCGTCTGACATTCTGCGACCACTAGCCCTCCACCACTTGGTCGCTGGCTCGAGATCTACGTAGGGCAGTCGCCAGGTACTGGCCGTAGGTCAGTGTTTTTTCTCCGGGAACCCCGGCTTTCCTCCACCATCAAAACCTGGCACGTCCTTAAATGACCATATTTTTTTTTGTCAAATATGTATATCAGCACTTTTGAAATGTAGATTTTTATATGATTTCAGAGAACTCTGGACCTGTTCCCGTCCTCATAGTAAGCTACATGAGGAGCGGATCTACATTCACGGCGGACGTCATAACGAGTTATCCCTCATCGTACTATTTATTTGAACCAATGAAGGTGACAGTGGAGAAATTGGCGAAAAACTCTACGATCGAATTAATAAATGGCACAAGGATATCAAGGTAAGTAAAACAGCAGACTGAAAGTCCCATCACAGCCGCAATATGGATCTTATCTGTATAACCGAGCAAAGTGCATTATGCATGTATAATTTAATCTTCGGGTCACTGTTTGGTGATATACATTTGTACACGACAGACATCTTTTACACGAAGTTTTGCCGAATTTCGTAATTTTAAAACATCATCTTATTGTGTGTACTTATGAGAAACCTTAGTAAACTTGTCCTTTTCCCGTAAGCACATAAATTTAAAGCATTGTCGCTTGTTTACAATATTTAACAGGAAAGAAATGATGCATGTATATGATAATTTTGTTAACGGCAGTGGCTATGTGCAAAAAAAAATATAAAAAAAAAATAGTATGCACATTTGTCATCATCTGAAAATATCATAGAAACATTCATCCATATCAGAAATCAAAGATGTCAGCAATGAAGTCTAAAATGAATTCTTTGAAGGAACATTTTAAAATAACCAAGCTCAACATTCGCTTTTTTGTGGGCAATATTTCGGAAAAATCAAGGTAAAAACAAACAAAGTTAATGAAACATATTCACACTTACAGTGCATATGCATATCAAATGCATAATCGAGGGTTTGGTGAAGCTTCAAAGTCATGTTCTTTTTAAAGTTCAAGTCATTTTAAAATATTCGTATTTCGCTCCTGGAAGAAATTTAGTATTTAATATTCTATAAGACACGAACACTATTCTTAACTTTTTTTTCCCGCGGTCTAGCATGTCTAACTAGATTTAAGTGAACTTTATACCTCTAAGCCATTGATGGAGCGTTATTGTTTGTATCTATCTATTCAACATCAAACATTGTCAAGATAGCCAAAGATCAATGTTAATAACCATATAACCCTTAGTTTGACTCAGATATTTGTATGTTATGGACACTAGTGAGGCGCAACTACGTATTTATTTACATTGAAAGGTAAAATGTTAAATCAGGGACTACGCCAGGGTCAACGTTTGATCTATAATAGTACAAATATTATACAATATTGATGTCAAGTTCTGATAATTAGATTCCGCGACACTTTCTAAGAACTTTTCGCCTGCAATTTAAATATTTTTTTCCATAATTTTCTTTTTGTTTTAGATACAATGCAAACGCACTAGCTGCCGATTTTTTACAAAGTTGGCTAACCTGTAAGTTTGACGGGCAAGACAAAGAAGCTGTAGTCAAACTGATCGGCACTCGTTCTACAACACCATTCAAGATCTGTTTGAGAAAAGGCAAAAGTAACAAGAACGAAACAGTATTACAGACTTGTCTGAAAATCCTACAGAAACAATGTGAATCGAGTAAAATACGTCTTGTCAAGGAAATCCGTGTAGGAATGAGAACTACTATTGCAATTCTGCTAAAAAAAGTTCCCGGTTTGAAGGTGGTTCACTTGTTACGTGACCAAAGGCCGAGACTTCTTTCAGCGGAAAAGACTCCACTGATGCTCCACCTAACCTTACAAAAAACGGCAAAAATGGAATGTGCTGACGCCTCTGATAACCTTGCTGTGCAGAAAGAGTTGCAGCAACAATATCCCGGCCAGTTAGAAACCCTTTTATATGAAAGATTAGCAGAAAACCCTATTCTGATTTCAAAACGAATATTTGATTTTCTTCATTTGCCATTTACAGCAATGTCTATTGAAAAAATTCAAAGCATGACTTCATCAACGCATGAAGTTCCATGTCCTTTTTGTACCAGTAAAAAAGATTCTGCAAAGACAGCACATGCTTGGAGAACTAGAAAATCCTCAAATTTCGTGAAGATTAAAATGATAGAAGAAGAGTGTGAGGATATTCAAACAAATCTTGGCTATATACCGTTAAAGAATATGGACGAGTTGAGAAACGCTTCATTTAACTTAAGAATTAACATTCCTTTAACTTCTGATGTTTTATAGATGTAAGGCCCTGATATGGTGACACATCAGTTACCAAAACTAAGTCCAAACATTGGAAAAGGTGAAGGGCGAGTGCGCTATCCACTGCGTCATCCGATCACCAATTCACCTGGTTTTGACCGTATTGTGCTACATTTTAGTGCTATTCTGCCACATTATATACAAATGCTTAAAGGAAGTTGAGCGAGTGTACCTGCCGAAGTATTACACCCGCCTGTTAAGGTTCAACAAGCCTCCTTAAAGATGATGTAGTCCCCTAAAATTTCAACATCCAGAAAAGTCATGTTCAAAGACCTCAATTAAAAATCAGAACTTATTTTATGTTATTTGTATATATTGAACTTGTACATTGGTTATACAAAAAATACATAGCCAGGCCAACGTAGTCAAAAATAAGGCAATTAGACTGATGTCTTCATAAAAATAGCTCACCGTACTTATAACATGTAAATCTCTTTTGCAACTAAGGGCCTCATAAATGACCCATAATTTAAAGTTTATTTATATACCTAGGTCATGCAGAGCTTTATTTCTCTTCTACTAGCTGTTGAGAGGAATTCCGACCTCAAATAAAGATAGATATTGCCATGCGAAACTACTAAAATCATAGTAAAATCACCTGGTAATACATTTTAGCAATTTATAAATAAGAAAACAAAGGCTAAGTAACCTTGACCGAAGATGATGTGCCACTTTATAACATTATGTGATTATATGAACGCTAGACATGTTATAAACATTGCAGCTGAAAAGTACAATAATGTTTATAACAAGTCTAACTCTTTTATAAACACATTGAATGTTAGGAAAGGACATTTTATATGAAGTTTAAGTAGTGTTGATGGTCAAAGGTCTGTGGTTTTACACATATATACCGGTAAAATATGTTACGCGGACGTTTTACTATGATTTTGGTATTTTCCCATAGCAACAATAATCTTCTTATGAGGGCGGTATACCTCTCCACACATAGTTAAAGAGAAATAAAGCCCCTCATGACCTAGGTATATAAATGATCTTCAAATAACATGTCATTTTGTAACATCCAGTTGGGTCGCTTAAGAGATTGACATGTTGTAAATCTGGTGAGCAACCTTTATCCTTACATCAGCCTTAAGGACGTATTTTGACTTCGTTAACCTGGTTATGTACCATTTTAAAAGCTAATGTACAAGTTCAATATATTTAAATTACACACATATATATATTCCGATGTTTGATAAGGGTATTTCAATATGACTTGCCAGGCGGTTGAATCTTTGGGTGACTATTACATCTTTTAAGGGGCTTGTTGAACCTTAACGAAAAATGGTGATCGGACAATCCAGGAAAAGCCATGAGAAATACTGTGGAATTGGTTTCATCTCTTATGGTTTTAAAAGGTTCCATAACAACGGAAATTACAGATAGTATATGTGCAAACCTGAATACTCAAAACAGCAAAAGGCATATATGCTTTATATGTGCATAAGCCTAAAGTGCTCCGACAAAGCACGCATGCACTAAGACAATTCGGTTCTGGCGGAATGTCAATGTAAAAACGCAACGTAATACACATTACACGTTCATTTAAGACATACAATCCCATTAACCTAGTAAAACAAAAAACCGGAATAAAACAATTAAAGCGATTGGGCAGTTATTCTGAATACTCGGCCAAGTTCCGTAATAAGACACGTGTAGACTGAAAAAACCCCACCTTGTTTTCACGAATGAGCAGGTTTTGTACAAGAAACATGAGTAATCATAAATTTGTCAAATAATAGCGTCGACGGTGTAAAGTTTTCTGAATATCAAATAATTATTCACTCTATTGTTATTAAAGACAACATTAAATGACGATGGTGTCCACAGCTAATGAACTTTTTGGAAATACTAAGTGTGGCATATCTCCTAGTAACATTGTTTTAACGAAAGGCTGACTTTAGGAGACCTGGATGGAAGAAAATGCAGGTCTGCTGTATCGCAATGCACTTAAAACAATAACTAATAATGGACTTCTTTCATGACTGATCATGACTCAAATGTATAAATCGTGTATAAGCATTTAATTTTACAGTTCAACCCTCTTAAGTAAGACGCACTCTGCTAAGACGAAATTACATAAAATTCATGGATGAATTCGTATATTATAATATCTCATTGACGGCTACGACATAGGTACTGGCTGCATCTGTCTGAACATATATAATGTAAACAGTTTATATTATAGATGTATTGTCAGACAAGGCTAGTACCCGTGGCTATTCAAATACAGGGCTGTAACCATGACAGACACTTATTTTGCCCTATACACTGTAATGATATTGTTTGTGTAACAGATTTTCTAAAAATGTTTGTCTCATGACATGGTAAGTAAAACACATTGATAGATGATGATCTTGTAGTTCTACACTGAACATCAGACATATACGTAAAATCATGCAAATTTTGTTGGAAGGTGTTATATTATATTAGATTATATTTTGAACTGTTACCCCAAATAGTTAAGCAATAATCCAGATATGGGTTAACAAAGCAGTTGCAAAAAGTCTTACAAGATGACTGGCTCAAGATGGGTCTCACTTTTTTCATCTAAAAAATTTGACATGATATCTTTTTACAGACATTTGTAAATTGAATGTTCCAAGAGAGACAGTCATCTATGGACACTCCCAAAAGTTTTTCACATTTTAAATTTTCAATGTTTTCATTGTTGATAACAACAGACACGTATACTATACAAAATAATCAATATTACTCTTTGATCGCACTGACCATAACGCGCCAAAAATAAAATTTAAGCAATGACCACAGTAAAAATAGAACAGAAACATGGCCCAAACAGCAGGTTTGCTACACATCACGCAACTCTAACACGACACTCACTTACATTCACACTTACGACGCGCGGCTAAAATATCACGATACGGATGGCTGATTTCCGTCACATACGGACACGCATGATATACAAAATAGTCAATATTACTTATTAACACACATAATACATAAAATTATGTCCCTTTCACATTTGCACCGTTTTCTTCGACGCCACTCCTCATAGGTAAATTTAACTGTTGCCTGAAATATAAAATCCCCCACTATACAACGATTAACTTACAGTTAAAGTTTGTGTCTTTGTGTTGTGTTCCCGACTAAAATCCTGAACAGTCCTTACACGGGGATAGCATAACACAGGTGACCTCATCACTGCACGTAATGATACAGACCAACCGCATTACTCGTTCTCATTTTGGGGTAGACCTAGCACGGAGCGTTGGGACAGAGCCCTAACAGACAAGCAAATACAGGGGTCATTTCAAAAATAATTGTATATGGAACGTAGCGTATAGGGTATGTCAGAGTGTGTAGACGCACATGTACGTTACTACAGGTAAGCGAACAGGTAACATCATATAGAGATACAGATAGGAAACTATTTTAACCGGCAACCACAGTCGTTATAGTCTTTTTCGTGGCTCAATGCGGGAGATATGTGACCGTGGTAGTTGTATATTTCAATATTTCCGTTAAGGATCTCACCCGGGACGTCTTTTGTATTTTTCTGACCCCGATTGGGTTAAACGAAACTTCCCGAGCAAAAATAATCAGTTGGAAGAAGTTTGCATTTTACCAGAGTGACAGGGATCACATAAACATTTTTAGATTAAATAATTTAATGTTCTAGGGATCTTTTCAGGGGAGTATGCACAGAGGTTTTGTTTTCAGTAAAAACCGTAATTTAAAAAAAAAAATCTAGTTTATCAGTTGTACACGTAATGAAAAGCAAGGGATGTTACTGTAGGTAAGGAGCACTAAAAGATCGTTCTCTAGTGTTTTGTCACAAACAGGGGGACAGGAATCCTTAATACAGATTAAATGAAAAATAATTTAGAGATGTTCCCTGATTTTACTACTCTCGGTGTCCGTCTCTGGCTCCGTGGCAGATATGCCTCAAAATGAGAAATGTCTATTTGTATACCGTCCGACGAGAAGCCGTCTTTGATATTTAAGAATCCATGTTCCGCTCTCAAAAACTGAAACTCTGGATTCGAAACTTATTTTATCGGCCTGAATATGCCTTTGCTTAAATCATTTCTGAAAAGAAAAGTTACTCTGAGGGTTTTTTCGGAAAAAAAATGATAGAGATGAAATAAACAAAAAGCATCTTCAATAATGTTTTAGTATATAAAAAAACAAATAGCGTGGCTAGCGCCCTAACCGACTAAGCTATCTGGTCAACGGAGGTGTGCTGGATCAACTGTGCTGAAGGTATTACCATAACAAAATAATGGGAGGTTACTGTGTATAGTAAGATCTGCAGTTCAGTGGGACAGGGATACTTAAATGTGTTAATTTAAATTTAAATTTTCAGCAAATCGCGGGCTTCAAAATTTGCCACATTCTGATTGGTTGAAAAAGACCGGAACTGAAAACGTCACCGGGAAGCCTGCAATACAAAACAGTTTTGACCTCCTCACAGATAAGTTTCATGTTTGACTCAAAGGTCTACCAATTTTGATATGTGTTTGTCACTCTTTCAACAAGAAAACAACCGTCGGCTTCACGAAAGCTAGGCATGTGCAAATCTACTGTAGTCACTTCAGTGCACAGGGGAAGTACCATCTATATGGCGTACTGCGTTAGTATGCCCGATCTAAAAGAAAGGAAAGAAATTTGAGGCCATCAACTATAGACCAGTATCACTGACATGTGTAGTATGCAAGATCATGGAACACATAGTAACTAGTCACATCATGGAGCATGCTGATTGCAACAGTATGTCATACAACCTGCAACATGGATTTTGCAAAGGGCTATCTTGCGACACTCAACTGGTGGAGTTCATAGATGATATTACTAAAAACACCGATGAAGGTAAACAGACAGATTGTTTGATTATGGACTTTAGTAAAGCCTTTGACAAGGTCAGCCACAGTCTCTTGACACAAAAGTAACATGACTATGGAATCAAAGGCAAGACAAATAGATGGATAGAGAGCTTATTGGGAAACAGGAAACAGGCTGTATTAGTGGAAGGGGAAACATCTCGCTTTGTAAAAGTTGAGTCTGGAGTCCCTCAAGGCTCAGATCTTGGTCCCCTGGTTCTTGCCTGTTCCTCTATTATATAAATGACCTTCCGGAGAATATAAGATATAATGTTCGCCTATTTGCAGACGATACGATCATGTACCTGTCGATAACATCACAGGAAGACGGTGAAGATCCTGACAGTCTAGCTCAATGGGAAACCATCTGAATGATGCATTTTCATCCTGACAAGTGTAACGTCATTACTATCTCCAAGAAAAGGAATACCATCAAGAGATAATATAAACCTCATTCACATACTCTAGAGCAAGTAACATCTGCCAAGTACCTGGGTGTCATAATTACAACAGACCTGAAATGGAACCTACACATCTCTTATATATGTAAAAAGGCTAATAACACCATCAGCTTTCTGAAGAGGAACCTTAACATCAGCAACCCCAACATCCCTAGTCAGACCCATTTTGGAATATGCATGTACATCGTGGGACTCTCATCAGAGAAATAACATCAACAAGTTAGAGATTGTACAATGTATCACAGTCCAACATCCGTCACAAAAATTATGAAAGACCTGGAATGGGAATCACTTGAGGAAAGGAGGAGAAACGCGCGACTAGGCATCGTTTATAAGATCAACAATAACCAAGTGAAGATTGATACTACATGTACCTCCAACACGTCATAGCAGAAATATGCACGCTAAATCCTTCCAAATTCAAATGCCTTCCATCATGCAACACCAAGTTAAGGAAGGGGTCTTTCTACCCATGAACCATCCGGGATTGGAATGCGCTACCCGCATGCACTGTAGACGCTGTGAGTCTTGAAGTCTCACTTGGCCGCAAAGGAATAATATTCTGAACACTTGTTTTTAATTGCACAATTCACAAACTATTTTCATCAAGTTGTTAACTCTGAATATTAACTTACCGCATCGCACAACAAGTGGCAGAATAATCAACTGAATGATGGTGGCAACCACGTGGTAGAAGTAGAAATAGAAGCGCAAAGGAGAACCGGTCAGACGAAGCGTTTCTTTGTTGATCAACGACAATGCTGATGAGTCGTCTGATATACATGTATGTTGTATGCGTAGCCTACTTTGTCAGTTCGTGTCTGTGTCACAACATGACTTCCCCGTCCCCGTCCTCGTCCCCGTCCCTCTCTCCGCACTCTGGTCCGATTTGCTTCAAGTCAGTCGGTTCAACCACAGGGGTTAGTTACAAATGTCTGAAATACAAATATGCTATAATGGGTCACAGAACACATAATGCTGTGACCCATATCAGCATAGCATATGGTGTATTTCAGAGGAGGATTCGAGATTCATTTATATATATAATAAGGCGTGTTGAAAAAAGTTTCTTTTTACAAGTTATTTAATCAGTTTTGACAAACATCAAGCATTCCATCAAGTCCCCTTTACCTGTACAATGTCTTTTACCATTTACATTATTATTTCTAATATTTGTTCTACCTTTTAATTGTATCTGTATTTAATGAAGGCGCTAATTTCACTTATTTTTTGTAAACAAATGATAAATGGTAATAAATGATAAATGGATACTTGCCAACCTTTTGAATTATTTTTTTGCAGGGGAGAAGTCGTGTGCTCAAAATAAAATATAACAAAACATGAAGAATTATAAAAGATGTGTTTGCATATGCCCCCTAGATAAAAGAAACACACTTTAGAGTGTCAATCGTCTTTTTAGTTGTTCTTTTTTCATCAAATCATTAGGTATCAGAATACTGGCTGTAAATGGTCAATTCTAGCACGGACTTAGATAGCAATCTAATTCTGTGGTGTGACCTATGAGTCGAAAGGTGTTAAGGGGACATAACTCGCGAGATCTGGAAAAATATGCTACATGTAGATGTGATTCGTAATTTTACCAAGGAATTACACTAGACCTAGGTCCATGACTTTGACTAATTTGTATATGTTTCACTTTTCGAAACGTGTGAAATAATCAGTTCTTAAATATGAAAATGAAAAATTGATTAATTGTTTACATGTAACGTTTTAGTCAATTTTCAACCACGTGTATACACTAGCTATTTACCATTGATATACCTGGTCACAAACTCTACCTATAGATCATTGATATATCTGGTCACAAACTGTAATTATACTATAAACCACCGACATACCTGGTCACAATCACTAATTATAGTTCGCCGAGTTGCATGTACCTGGTCACGAACAGTAACAGACGCACTACCTATGGACAAATGAGATACCTGATCACAAACAAATATAGTTCAGCGAGATACCTTGACACAAAAAACGTAATATAGACCACTGAGATCCCTGGTTACACACTCTCACTATAGACCACTGAGATACCTGTTTACAAACACTTATCATAGACCATTGAGATACCTGGTTACAC